GCAGGAAGGCCTGCAATCGGACGCCGAGGTTGCTTTGTTTCTTCTTGATAGGTGACGTTGTCTTCCACATGAAACGGAGCTAAACCATTCAACACACACTACTACCAAACACATTCAACCTGAATTACCATGTAGGCATAGCAGATTCCGCCATCATCGCTGCCAGAGTTGTGTACGTATGTGTGGGGCGGAGTTATCAAAATAGGGGCGTGTTGGGGTATGGATGTGCTTGTTTTGGTGCTTTCAAATATCAACATCGTTTGGCAAAATTCACTTAGTGCACCTTTAACCCCCAAATATGATGATCCCTCTGACAAGGAGCCCACTTTTCTAAAATAGTAAGTGGAAAAATATTTTCATGTATAAAAACCCACTTGCCAGTCAAGTTTGAAATAGATAATTTGTAATGGTTTTGCAACATGTTTCTTATGGTCGGCAAAGTTGCATTTACTTAATTTCAATTTTATTATATTTTAAAATGTAATTTATTTCTATGACGGCAAAGCTGAATTTTCTCTTACTCCAGTCTTAAGTGTCAGATGATCTTTCAGAAATCATTTTAATATGCCGATTTGCTGCTCAAGAAACATTTCTTAATATGATCAATGTAAACAGTGAAAACTGGTGCTGCAGATGCTTAATATTTTTGTAGAAACCATGATACATTTTTTCAGGATTCTTTGATGAATACTAAGTTCAAAAGAACAGCATTTATGTGAATGCTGTAATAGGACAGTAAATAGACTTTCAGCCTTGTTAATAAAGAACTATTCAAAAAAATTGACCTCTAAAAATCCCATTTTAGTATGCTAAAATTCACTTTGTGATTGCTGTATTTTGCTGCTATCGTTACTGTGTGCAGATACAGATCTTTCCATTTAAATTAATTGCAAATCTGGGTCACATGAGTGTGTTTGTACATGCTGAGGATTTCTAATGAAATGATATTTGTTGATTTGTGAAGTGTATTTTATTAAAACTCATTAGTGGTCTATCAGCGTATGTTGTGCGGCTGCTGGAGCTGTTGTCCAGTAATGGTGGCAAATGTGGTGTCAGCACAGGGCAGTTCAAGGTCATTGCACATGCAGTGCACTTGTTGCATTTAGTGTGTGTGTGTGTGTGTGCGCGCGTGCGCTCACGTGTAGGATAAGGGAGTGTCCTAATAAAATGAGTGATGAAGAACTCTCCTGCTGCATCCAAACAGCTTACTCTGCATAAACTCCCTCTCTCTCTTTCTTACTCGCACCCCCAGTGTGTTTCATGGTTTTACCATGGTATTCTTGAAGTATATAATGAGTAATTGAAAGTACCACATTATTACAATCACATGCAATCTTTTTACCATGATACATAATAGTACTTTCTTTCACGTTCAAAACAATGAATCTTTGCCTTGATATTTTAATGCAAATAAGCAGATATTATATGGGGGGGTAATTAATGAACTGCTTACCAAGCAGGGTCAAAAACTTTGTACCAATTCGTTGGTAAATTTTCAAGCCTTGTAGCTTCATAATCAACGTTGTTATCATCATAGTCTTCAGCGATGATCTCCTCTTCAGCCTCTGAAGATGAGAAACAATAAATGAAAGCATCAACTCATGATTTAGTATGTTTTAAGGATCACCCAGTAAGATTAATACGCATGTGTATCTTACCGTGGTCAGACTGTTTCACGATGCCTCTTTTAGCGAGGCGCGCAAGTAAAGCAGGAGGCAGAGGCATCTGAAGAGAGAGCAAATCAGCAGTTAATCATCACAGTGCTGGAGAGCCGCGAGTAACCTTAAACTGCACTGACGGGATGCGGATTTCGTATGCAAATAACGGACAGGATAATACACATGCAATGTTATTAAGAAACACATGACGGCGACTGCATACTTTACCTTTATCACGTCCAGAAGCTTAGTTATGGTGTTAACGTTTCAATGAAAAGAGCCACAAGCGACTCTGGCGCAGAGCAATGACGTAGCGAAAGCGTGAAGTGACGTCATGTAAGCGTGACGCTCATCTGAACATTTACTTGTATTATTATAAAATAAATTATTTTTTTAGGAAATACACAAAGCATATGGTTTTAACACGTTTAAAAAATAATGTAAACGTAACACTTGATGTTTTTAACAGCAAATGGCAACAAAAAACGCTGTGAACTTAATTTTATGCCTTATTTCTTATTTTAAGGATGGTGCTATTTTTTGTCATAGTCCGATGATGAATTGGCACTTCGAAGTCCACACTATTAATTTAGTATTTTCTTCGGTAAGTAGTTCCAGAGTGCCTTTCCTGAAGTTTTTATTATGTTTAGCAAATATTACCTACCTACCACATTAGTGTCTGAATTATCATTACACGTCTCAGTAAAAGAAATGCTTACAAACGATTAGATCTCTCCATTATTATAGATTTCCAGCAGACAGTGCTTCTCAGTAAATAATAAACTGTTTTCTTTTGAGAAAGCACTATTACATATATCTAGTTCCTGGCCTCTAAAGCTAAAACTTATTGAGAAATTGTTTTCAGATTATAAAATTAAGGGCTAGTTCATATGGTGAAGTTTTATATATAATAGAATTGCATCAGAAGTGTTGACTTTCTCTCGAGAACTATGCATAAAGAAATACAAATATCTGTCATTTAAATTTAAGTAAATATATGAGGCTAATAACCTCTGAATCGTTTTTCAGAAACACAAGGTTCTTAGTACAATGTAACGCTACACCTAAAGAGGGAAAAGAAAGTTTCCATACAAAAGAGGGAGCTTTATTAACAAAACACAACAACAGAAACAAGTCTTTGTTGGACAGACTACAGGAACAAGTGTCGTGTGGATAAGTGAGTGTTTAATGGCTGATATTCATCTCATTGTCCTCATCCTCCTCTGAGGAAAAAGAGGAGAAGCAGACTGGCTCGCACTCCAAGGTGCACAGGTTCACAAGACAGGCTGTCTGTGTGCTGCTGAACTCTGGGATTGCTACCAGGAGAACATCTTGTCCTTCAGGTCCTGAGATGAAAAATAAGACAAAAATTACCTTACAAAAATATACTGGTAATGCATGGGCACACTTACACACAGTGCTGTGTTTAATATTAAATAGTCTCGTCTTCACCTGTGACTTGTTTACATTGGTAGCTTGGTGCGTTTCCGCTGAAGTACACATGAGGGCATTCTTCCATAATAAAGGGATCTTTCTGATAGAACAGGTAACAACCTTGAGGGTCAACAAAACATGCCAGAGCAATCTAGCATTTTCAGAGTGCTTTATACAAAATAGTAATACAACAAGATATTCAAAAACTTCAAAATTAATATTTGTTCTTTTTATAAATTCAAATGATTTTTTAGGTCCTGAAAGAGTCATACTGAAGTGTTTAATATACTATTGAATAATAATAATAATTTTTTAAAAAAGTAAAAAAATAAATTTAAAAAAAGCAGTAAAATATCTTCACAATACAAAGCCCTTAAAAGGACATGGCAATGGGGGGAAAAGAGATGGAAGGAAAAATTATATTTCAATGCTTTTGAATTTTCTCGCACAAGTTTTGTGAGGGAACAAAACGGGTGATGGAAATAATGAGGTGGGAGGGAAAAAAGTTATGCAAGAGAACACAGAACCATTGAAATATAATTTTTCCTCCCATCTCATATTTTTTCCATCACCCCTTAGTGGCTCTGTAT